TGGCCTCTCCCGTTGGGGAGCACAGGCTCCGGACGCGCAGGCTCAGCGGCCATGGCTCACGGGCCCAGCCGCTGCGCGGCATGTGGGATCCTCCCGGACCGGGGCACGAACCCGTGTCCCCTGCATCGGCAGGCGGACTCTCAACCACCGCACCACCAGGGAAGCCCAACAATGGTTTTTGATTGCTGTTCTTTTTTTCATAGTTTTTAAATTTTAATTAAATTTTTTTGGCCGCACTGCACGGCACGCACGATCTTCCCCACCCAGGGATGGAACCCGTGCCCCCTTCAGTAGAAGCGCGGAGTCTTAACCACTGGTCCACCAGGGAAGTCCCCTGTTGTTCTTTTTAAATGTGTTCTTCTAAATGTTTTAAAATAAAATTTCCAAGATCAGTGTTCAAATTATTTTAGCTCAAGCTGTTTTTTTTCAAGTTAGTATCACAGTTCTGAACGAACTCCGTAAATTACCTTATCTGAACGTTGGCACAGAGACACAGAGGCTGAAGAGAGGGGTAACCAGCAGTGTCTTCCCGACCATCCAAGAATACGGGCGCCGATTGGGCCAGGCCTCGGCACCCCACCGCGGGTAAGGGTTCTGGAAGGTGATGGGTCTTTACATGTTAGCGGTTGCACCTGGGCAGCCAGACCCGTGGGCGGGGATGGTACTCACGTGGGCGCCGTTCTCCAATAGGGCCTTAGCGCAGGCCACGTGGCCTCCCAGGCACGCCTCATGGAGAGAAGAGACCCGGTTAATTGTTACCAGGTTCACGTTGACGCCCTACAATTTGGAGAGAAGTCGATTAAAGGCTGCATCAGCAATAAGAATAAACGGCAAGGTTGTCGGACGTGTTTGTGAAGTGTTCGTGGCCTGCGGGCACCACCTAGAGAGGAGTAGAGGCCATGACTAGGGGAATCCAAACACAGCTGGGAGCCTCGGATTCACTGATTCAGCAAAAGCTCATTCAGTATCCTGGACCAGGCCATGTGCCAGCACCTGGGGCTTCAAAGCTTATGACGTGGGTCTCTCTCCTCTAAGAGCTTAGTGGGGAGACAGAAATGGTGGCGGGAAGTGGGGTGGGGTACGATGGGGAGGAACCCAGCCAGAATACTGCCACACTGGAAGCATGTTCACATTTTAATTGGGGACATGGGGTATCCTTGAATCTGCCTTGGGGAGTAAGAGAAAACTTTGCAAATGAGGTAGTATTTAGCTGCGGCTTGAAGCATAAAAAATTTCAAACTAGGCCGCATAGCACAGGGAGATCAGCTCGGTGCTTTGTGACCACCTAGAGGGGTGGGATAGGGAGGGTGGGAGGGAGACGCAAGAGGGACGGGATATGGGGATATATGTATATGTATAGCTAATTCACTTTGTTATAAAGCAGAAACTAACATACCATTGTAAAGCAATTATACTCCAATAAAGATGTTAAAAAAAAAACTAGGAAGGCAAAAAAAAAAAAACGCATTCCCTTAGGAGGGAACAGGATATGCAAATGTGGGACGCAGAGGAGGGCGAGGCAGGGCACGTAGGTGGATAGTTGCCAAATCTCTGGATCAGAAAGAGCCCACACGTGACAGGCGGAAGAAAAAAGGGGAAAGGCGGGGAGGGGGAAGATGAAAGGGGATGGTAAGCTAGAGCCAGATCGTGAAAGGCTTTGGTTTCCGAACGGGGGTGGAGGTGGGGTGCATGTGTTATAGGGAATGAGGCGCCTTTCAAGTCTGTTAGTCCGTAGAAGGTCCGGAGCTAATACACAGGACGTTTTCAGAAAAGCACACTGGTTAGCACCAAGGAGGGCTGCTTGGAGAGGTAGGGATGTGACACTGGAGAAAGGAGCGTCATGAAGACATGGCGATGAGTCAGGCACAGGCTGATATAGGTGTGAACAGCAGTGGGTACGGGGAGCGGGTGACAGAGTCCAGGGTTGGGGGTGTTAGAAGTGGATGTGGCTCAGAAGGATGACACCCAGGCCCAAGAGTAGAAAGTAAAGGGCCTCCCTGGTGGCGCAGTGGTTGAGAGTCCGCCTCCCAATGCAGGGGACACGGGTTCGTGCCCCGGTCCAGGAAGATCCCACATGCCGCGGAGCGGCTGGGCCCGTGAGCCACGGCCGCTGAGCCTGCGCGTCCGGAGCCTGTGCTCCGCAACGGGAGAGGCCACGACA